TGTTATATCTTCTTCTTGGATTGATCCTTTGATCATTATGTAGTGTCCTTCTTTGTCTCTTTTCACAGCCTTTATTTGGAAGTCTATTTTATCTGATACGAGTATTGCTACTCCTGCTTTCTTTTGGTCTCCGTTTGCGTAAAATATCTTTTTCCAGCCCTTTACTTTCAGTCTGTATGTGTCACTTGTTTTGAGGTGGGTCTTTTGTAGACAGCATATATAGGGGTCTTGTTTTTGTATCCATTCAGCCAGTCTTTGTCTTTTGGTTGGGGCATTCAACCCATTTACATTTAAGGTAATTATTGATAGGTATGGCCCCATTGCCATTTACTTTGTTGTTTTGGGTTCACGTTTATACAACCTTTCTGCAGTTCCTGTCTAGAGAAGATCCTTTACCATTTGTTGAAGAGCTGGTTTGGTGGTGCTGAATTCTCTCAACTTTTGCTTGTCTGTAAAGCTTTTGAATTCTCCTTCATATCTGAATGAGATCCTTGCTGTGTACAGTAATCTGGGTTGTAGGTTATTCTCTTTCATTACTTTAAGTAAGTCTTGCCATTCCCTTCTGGCCTGAAGAGTTTCTATTGAAAGATCAGCTGTTATCCTTATGGGAATCCCCTTGTGTGTTGTTTGTTGTGTTTCCCTTACTGCTTTTAATATTTGTTCTTTGTGTTTGATCTTTGTTAATTTGATTAATATGTGTCTTGGACGTTTTGCCTTGGATTTATCCTCTTTGGGACTCTCTGGGTTTCTTGTACTTGGGTGACTATTTCCTTCCCCATTTTGGGGAAGTTTTCACCTTTTATCTCAAGTATTTCCTCATGGCCTTTCTTTTTGTCTTCTTCTGGGACTCCTATGATTTGAATTTTGGGGCGTTTCACATTGTCCCAGAGGTCCCTGAGATTTTCCTCATTTCTTTTAATTCGTTTTTCTTCTTTCCTCTCTGCTTCATTTATTTCTACCATTCTATCTTCTACCTCACTTATCCTATCTTCTGCCTCCGTTATTCTACTATTGGTTCCCTCCAGAGTGTTTTTGATCTCACATGTTGCATTATTCATTATTGATTGACTCTTTTTTATTTCTTCTAGGTCCTTGTTAAACATTTCTTGCATCTTCTCAATCCTTGTCTCCAGGCTATTTATCTGTAACTCCATTTTGTTTTCAAGATTTTGGATCATTTTTACTATCATTTTTCTGAATTCTTTTTCAGGTAGACTCCCTATCTCCTCCTCTTTTGTTTGGTTTGGTGGGCATTTATCATGTTCCTTTACCTGCTGAGTATTTCTCTGCCTTTTCATCTTGTTTAGATTGCAGTGTTTGGGGTGGCCTTTCTGTATTCTGGCAGTTTGTGGTTCCTCTTTATTGTGGAGGTTCCTCCCTGTGAGTGGGGTTGGACAAGTGGCTTGTCAAGGTTTCCTGGTTAGGGAAGCTTGTGTCAGTGTTCTGGTGAGTGAAGCTGGATTTCTTCTATCTGGAGTGCAATTAAGTGTCCAGTAGTGAGTTTTGAGATGTCTGTGGGTTTGGTGTGACTTTGGGCAGCCTGTATATTGAAGCTCAGGGCTATGTTCCTGCGTTGCTGGAGAATTTGCGTGGTATGTGTTGCTCTGGAACTTGTTGGCTCTTGGGTGGTGCTCAGTTTCTGTGTAGGTATGGAGGCTTTTGGATGAGCTCTTATCAATTAATGTTCCCTGGAGTCAGGAGTTCTCTGGTGTTCTCAGGTTTTGGCCTTAAGCCTCCTGCCTCTGGTTTTCAGTCTTATTCTTACAGTAGCCTCAAGACTTCTCCATCCATACAGCACTGATGATAAAACATCTAGGTTAATGGTGAAAAGATTCTCCACAGTGAGGGACCCCCAGAGAGGTTCACAGAGTTACATGGAGAAGAGAAGAGGGAGGAAGGAGATAGAGGTGACCAGAAGAAGAGGGGGAATCAAAAGGGGAAAGAGCAATCTAGCAAGTAATCAGTTCCCTATGTCAACTGGCACTTCTTGAGTGCTTATTTATGTGACTGATACAAAGGATTTGAAGGCAAAATTGCAAATTCTACATTTGAGAAGCTCATTACTTGAAGGTTGTATGTAATAAAAAAAAAAAGTACAGTGTGACAAAGGCAGAAAAAAATGTGTACAGAGTGCTGTGGGCACAGAGAAGGGAACAGCCAGTTTGTGGCGATGGAGCCTGGAGGGGTGAGCCGGGGTGTGGGAGGCCCCCCGCCCCCCGCCAGTGTCCAGGCGCTGCCCCGGAAACACTGTGGACCCGGGGCTGGTCTTCACTGAAGCCAAAAGGCCGCCTAAGGCCATATCACTAAGCAGGGACTCTGAGTTATATAAGAAACCAAATCCAGCAACCTCAAAGGCCCTTTCAAACTCTATTTTTCCTACTGTTTAAGAAAATCTAAAGGACTAGTGAAATTGGATTCTTCAAGAGGCTTATTTAAATTTCTATAAATAGAGTTAATTTTCTGTCTCTGTGATGAAATTAACACTATCCAATCCTTAGGATTTTCAGGCTATGCCTACAAATTGTCTTATTACCAGAAACTCTGACTTCAGACATGTGTGTTCACTGCAGGTGGCGCTGTCCACCATTTCTAATTCCTTACTCAAGCCAATCAGTGCCTCCTTGGTATGATTTTCTCTCACTTAATGGAAAGGAATGTTGGAACTTCTCAGCATGGTCAGGTCACAGATGTTTAGCCTTATCTTCCTGGAGCATTATGGCAACACAAGAACCTAAGTCAGCACACTACCATGAATAATTCCATACATTCTCAATAGCCCTTGGCACTTCTGCTGGGAAGATACAGACTCCTGAATTCAAGTCTTGAATGTTTGTAAAGTGGAAATGAACTGGATTTCAGATATGTTGTCTAAGCATTTGTTTAATATTATTAGAAGGCCATTCTTGTAATTTACTATTTTAATTTTTTATACTTTTATTTACTTTTGGTTGTGCTGGGTCTTCATGGCTGTGCGTGGGTTTTTGCTAGTTATGGCAGGCAGGAGCTACTCCTTATTGCGTTGTATGGGCTTCTCATTGCAGTGGCCTCTCTTGCAGAGCATTGGCTCTCGATGCGAGCTTCGATAGTTGCAGCACCTGGGCTCAGCAATTGCGGTTCCAGGGCTCTGGAGCTTGGACCCAGTAGTCATGGCCCAGAGGCTTAGTTGCTCCACAGCACGTGGAATCTTCCCAGGCCAGGGATCAAACCTGTGTCCTCTGCATTGGCTGGTGGATTCTCACCCACTGTGCCAGCAGGCAAGTCCAAAAGGCCATTATTTTTTTTAAAAAAAGGAAAAGCACATTTGCCTTTACAATTGTAATTACTTACAATTAAAGTTTACTGCACAACCACAAAAGTTTTGTGGAATGAGTCAGAGCATAAATGATGAAATAGGGAGTTCCCTGGAAGTCCCGTGGTTAGGATTTGGCACTCACTGCCATGGCCCAGGTTCAGCCCCTGGTCAGAGAGCTGCGATGCCACAAGCTGTGTGACATGGCCAAAAGTTAAGAAGAAAAAGAATGAAATAAAAGGTCAGAGCATGCCTGAGGTTCAGTTTTGTTACAGACAAAACAGTATTCTCTAAAAACTAGTGGAACTTTTTTGTTAAGAGGCAAACTAGGAGCTTTGTGAATTTCTGATACTATTGATTGATTTTAAGTCACCCATTGCCTCCAGATAACACTGAAGAGTTATTTCAACCTGTAGATCACACAGAGCAGCTTTGTCTTGGAATCCTAAGAAGCTGTCTTAAACCTGTCTCTCTGATTTATAACTATAATTACTGACCTACTTCTACCTTAGGATGATAACACATTGTTAGCAACCATATCTAAATAGTCCCTAAAATTTAAAAAGCAGTTCTAAGATTTTTTTTCACCAAAATACATTCATCTCAGATAAGCATAATTAACCACAAAGTGCTCCTTTCTTTCTTTTTCCTTTTTCCCTAAATAAATCACTTCATGCCAGCTTCCAACTTCCTGGTTTCCTTTTTCTTCCTCATTGCCAGTTCTGCTGCTTGTTTTATTTTTCATTTTAAGTGCTGCAAATGTAGCACTCTGGATACGCTGAAACTGTGAAAATTTTTTTAAAAAAGGGGGTTATTAAAGATAGTCACATGATCCAGAGATTTAGGTAACTACTGGATATTTTTTACATAAATTATTTTTATTGTATGAAAAATGTCATAATTCATAATGATTAGACTACTGGATATTTTTGTACTACTGGATTACACACTGTATCTTTTTGATCTCTCACTGACAAATCCCATCCATGTCATGTGTTGAGTCCCATTCAAGAGCCCTGCAGGATCTTTCAAGCCAGGTCTCAAACTTAAAAGTCCATCTTAACTCATCCTTACTTGATCTGCCCTTAACACCTCCCACATGAGAACTTAGGAGGTGATGTGCTAACATAATACTAATACTTTCCTAGTAATAAATGATTCAAGGACATACCCATGTTTTATTTTTAGAAAACTTTTTCTTGAAGTATAACATGCATTTTTAAAATGCACAAATCCTAAGTACATAGTAGGACAAATTTTCACAAAGTTAAAACATCCATGTAACCCGTGCCCACCCAAAATCAAGAAACAGAACGTTATCTCCTTTGCACAGTGGTCAGGCATCCCTTCCTTTCTCTTTCACCCCCACCAAGAGGAACCACTATCCTGACTTCTTAACACCAGAGATTAGCTTTGTCTCATTGGCTTTATATCAATAGAATCACTCAGAAGTCTTTTGTGTCTGGCTTCTTTTGCTTAACATTTGGTGAGCTGTATCGATGATGATGTGGGTCACCCATTCTCATTGCTGTATAGTATTCCATTGAATACATATGCCACAAGTTCACTGTCAATGGACATTTGTGTTGTCCAGGTTTTATGAATAATGCTACTGCTATGTAACAACAGTCTTGAGACACCATCTTTTTTAAAAAGTGAACTACAAACAAGATATTTTTGCATTTGCATCTTTTTCTCTCTTTCTCTGCAGAACACTATTGGAGAATGGAAAACTGTTTTCTGCATTGCTGCTGCTATCAATGTATTTGGTGCCATCTTCTTCACACTATTCGCCAAAGGTGAAGTGCAAAACTGGGCTGTCAGTGATCACCGAGGACACAGGAACTGAAGGAACCAATAAATAATCCTGTCTCTACTAATGTATCTTTGTTTATCATGTAACCTAAAAGTGCCTTTGATATTTTAATGTGTAAGCAATCTATATACAAGAAAAAAATTGTACTGTATTAGAATTTAAGGCTTGTAATCATGAAATGTCACTAGTTGCCAGATAAGCAAAATTAGCTATTTTTAATTATTATTAACCCGTTTGCTGGAACTTATAATTCAGGGTCACATACCTGGCTGCAAGTCAGGCAACCCGCAATAGGGGAGTTCTATTTATTTATAAGACCATACCTAAAAAGATGAGCTGAAATAGACCCATCTGTACCTTTGCTTAATTAAAGTGGATAATAATGCTCAGGTCTTGTTAAGCATCTGTTTTTGTACACTTTCCTCAAAAAATTATTTGTCATCAGGAATCCCTGACTGACTTAGATCTCTAACTTGAGCCTCTCCACAGAGCTGGCAGCCACTGTATCATTCAGCCTGGCAACTTCACTGAGGGAAGCATGCCCAGGCAGCTGCCACACATCCCCTCTCTGGCTTCAGGGACAGTGCCCAGCACTTAGGCAGCATCCAAGACCAGGGTCAGCGCCAAGGCTTTGGATGGTATTCTTCCCCTGGGGCTGTTAATGTGTGGATGAAACCCTGAGCCAACAGGGACAGCACGATCTACAGTCATGGTTTCCATGCACCCTCTCCCTTCCCTTCCCAGCACACTGGAGTACTGCCTGGCATGTAATCTGCAAAAGAAAGTGTGATGCCCAATTAGCCACATATAACATCATCCTTGATGATCCTACCTTCACGTGGATCAGAGTATAAATCTTCAAGTACTGTGTTCTAGGAGCTATACCAGAATAATTAAAATATAAAAAGAAGAAAAACATTTTCACTTTTTTTTTTCCTGTCTGTCTTACACCTAAGTGTCTGGTTGCAGTTCAAGGTTAAAGTGACTTCTACTTCCATATCACCTGCAACCAGTAGTGTAATCATCTTTAGTGCTGGTTTCTGAAATTTTATTTTTCTAGTTTTTCCTGGACCATCTTCCAGTGGTTTTGAGCATGCTTTGAGGGTATTTATGTGATTTAGAACTTGATTTATGTTTCCTTGTGTATGTTCAACACTACCTGTAACATTTTAACTAAAGCTATTTAATGTAATATGATGTGTATACATTCTGTAAATTAATGTTTAAATCTGTAAATAGCTTTAAGATGCTATGGTGATATTTCTTTTATAAATCATCAAAATAAACCTTTTTGGAATGATTTTTTTTTTTTTTGATCCGACAGTTCTATGATATCTTCTAGTATCCACAGTGGCTGTTTTACATCTTTCCTGCTGTCTTCCTCAAACCACTGTCGACCTCTGCATGCATCTCTACCACCACCTGGGCAGGATACTTAGGTCCTCTGAATGATGCAGCATCACAAACCCCTATGGCCATCAGCCTGCCCTTCCTGCTCTCAAAAGGGTCCACTCTTCCCACTAAAACATGCTTGCATCAGTGATTATATCTTCTCCAACTTCACTAGACCTTGCTTCAGTAATTCCTCTTTAATTTGCTTCCTCAGTCTCTACCTGTCTTCTTGTTTTTTCCCTTTTGTCTCGAAGACACACAAAAGCCTTCTCTAGCCTTTAAAAAACAAAAATACCAGGGACTTCGCTGGTGGTCCAGTGGCTAAGACTCTGCACTCACAATGCTAGGGGCCGGAGTGTGATCCCTACTCAGGGAACTAGATCCCACATGTCCCAACAAAGATTAAAGATCCCGTGTGCCCCAACTAAGACCTGGCCAAATAAATAAATACTTTAAAAAATACCAAACTCTCCCAGGGACATAAAAATGGTCCAGCTTTCACTGCCAGGGGCTGGGGTTCAGTCCTTGTTTAGGGAACTAAGATCCTGCGAGCAGTCCTGCTCGGCACAATAATAGGCAGATGATAGATACACAGGGCTTCCCTGGTAGCTCTGACAGTAAAGAATCTGCCTGCAATGCAAGAGACCCGGGTTCAATCGCTGGGTCGGGAAGATCCCCTGGAGAAGGAAATGGCAAGCCAATCCATTGGACATGGAGAATCCCATGGACAGAGGAGCCTGGCGGGCTACAGTCCAGGGGGTCGCAAAGAGTCAGACACAACTGAGCGACTAACACTTTCACTTTTCACTTTCAGATAGATATAGATATATACACATATTTCTAGAGTGATATTCAAGAGACTGGAAACAGTAGTTCCTTCTGTAGAGAAAAGGTAGTCTACAGGGTGGGGAGGTGGAAAGGAGATTCATTTTCAGCTTATGAAATGCAACAGTGTAACTGAGTCACATAAAATCATCACTTTAAAAAACAAGACACCTGTTACTCAAGCTACTGCGTAATCCCCACCAGGCTTTTCACTGCCTAGTGGACATCCCCAGTGAGCTGTCTTCACTTCACCGGAGAAGTCTAAATCCAGCCTCACTCCCTCACCCCATGCCCCCAATAAACAACCGTCCCGTCATCATCACGATCCTCACTCCCGTTAAGAGCTTCAGCTCCCTGTCACTGAGGCTCAGGCTTGAAGTCGTTTGTTATTCTCCCTCCTCCCTCATCTCCCACCTCACCCTCAACCCCATTTATAACTAACCACCTGTATTTTCCACTCCAGTCTTTCTAAGACCCTGGAATTTTTTTTTTTTAATCTCTTTTGTCATTTCCCAAATAAGCTCTTTGAAGCTTTTGTTTCTACCTGGAATAGATAGGTAACCTCACTGCTTTTAGTCTGAACCTCTTCTGTCTGACTTCCCACCTGTGCTTGGTTATTAGTCCAAGTACACCCCATTTCCCAGACCAGGATGCTCCCACAGGGTGAGACCCTCCCACCCCACTGCCCTTTGCCCGCCCAACAATTCCTTTAACCAGCATGCTGCAGACCATGGGGTGGCAAAGAGCTGGGGAGACTGAACAGCAACATTTTAGTTGTTTAGCAAATACTTAGTAAATAACCCTTTGTTAAATGTATTGATTTTTTTTAAACTCATATATTATTTTTTCAATAGACTGTTTTCTTCTCAAAAAAGAAACTGAATAAATGTAACACTCAATGCAGAAAGGATATGCTAACCTCAAAGTAAGTATAAGTGGCAGTCATTGGTGAACGGTTTTGAAAGTATTTGAGAATAGCTCAGTCTGATATAGGCTAAGTAATTCTCCTCCCAGTTATACAGCTAGTATTTTCCACACATTCATCAGGTGCTGGGCTTGTTCTTGTACCTGCAATACAGTGTGAAAAGGGCAAACCCCTTCTCCCATGGAGTTCACATTCTGATTTATCAAACCTTTTCCTTCATGGGGTCCAGCCTTGGAAACCTCCCATGGAGATTGTCATTATCCACCTAACAATCAAATCCAGGGCAAACAAGCATGCCCGCTGCCCTCGGGAAGCCGAGTTATGAAAGAAACAGAGGCAACGCTGGAGTCAGCAGTTTGTATTAACCATTGTAATGTCCTTCCTACTTCAGCCTTTGCTTCATTATCAAGAAATCAGAGATGTTTGAATTTAGATCCTATTGCAAAGTAAATGATTTCTCTGAGGGAAGTTTATCACTGTTAAATAAAATTGCCCCAACAGAAAAATAGTGGTCAAGTATTTAAATTTAAAGGCAGGAAGAGCCCTATAGGAAACGACCTGGTTCCTCTTCCTCTCAGGAAAAGCATGTTACTGCCTCAGATGATTAGATATGAGGTGAACGTCTAATTTCCGTTTAAAAAATAAATAATCTTTTTCATAGAAATGTAAAGTGGATCACAACGCCTTTTCAGATGCCTCTGTCTTTTAGAGCAACCATAAGAAACGCCAGGTATAAAAGTTTGTGCTTTAAGACGGTAACACAGAAAGTAATTTCTTGAAGCTCTGCTATGGCAAGCTTTGAATACAGGAAGTACTGAAACCAAATGAAAAATTTTCCTGCCACCCTTTTCCGTACTGGAGTGGGTTGCCATTTCCTTCTCCAGGAGATCTTCCCGACCCAGGGATTGAACCCAGGTCTCCAGGGAGACACCTTACCATCTGAACCACCAGGGAAGTCCTAAAAGTTTGTGCTTTCAGAGGGTGACACAGAAAGTAATTTCTTGGAGCTGTGTCTGCTATGGCAAGCTTTGAGTACATGAAGTACTGAAACCAAATGAAATGTAACCCAGTCTCCTGCCACCCTTTTCCGCGTGCCTTGATGAGAAAGAACACTAGTAGTTTTCCCGAGTGCCAGCTTACTTTCACTTTACCTTGACGTGGGGGGAGGAGGAAGCTGACGTCCGGCCCTGCCAGTCCTGTGCCTCTCGGTGAGAGGCCACGATTGCACAACTGAGCTAGAAAAGTAGTCATTTCCTCTCACACAGTCTCCCTGTGTGATTGGCTGCACCTGGGACAGGGAATCCCCCTTCTGTCCTAAACACTGTGTTAAGTCTCTTCCTGTCATGCTCTCTTCAGCAGAAACCACTGAAATATGCCAGCCCTTTGAGGGTCACTGCCTCTCGGGGATCAAGTGCATACTGGCCTCATGTTGCATTAGAGCCATTAATAGCCCCTCACTTTGAGCATTTCACAATTTCACCTTCACTCCACAGCCTGAAACGTGAGCTCCCCACAGAAGTTTGGTTGAGACTGAAAGTGATCGAGATAGGATATACAGCCTGGTCCTTTTAATGCTCAAGAACTGTTTGTGAAAAGTATTGGGATGCTGTCAGAGGAAATTCCAATCGGTATATTATATAAATTACCTATACAATATGTATGATGTGCGTGCATGCTAAGGCATTTCTATCGTGTCTGAGTCTGTGACCCTAAGGACTGTAGCCTTCCAGGCTTCCCATGGAGATTCTCCAGACAAGAATACTGGAATGGGTTGCCATGCCCACTTCAAGGGGATCTTCCTGACCCTGGGATCGAACTGGTGTCTCTTGTGTCTCCTGCATTGACAGGCAGATTCTTTACCACTAGCACCACCTGTGAAGCCCAATATGTA